ATTCTTTGAACTACAAGTAATAGATATTTAAAAAGGTACCTCTTTGTAGTTGTCCTTGTCGCAGTCATCGTGGAATTAATAAGAAATTAAGAAGCATGGAAAAGGTACACTAAGCGATTTTATGAGGAAAAGGTACTGCATTTTTTTTAAATCTTGTTCCATTTTTTTTCAATTGCTTCGTAGAATTGTTTCATTAAAAATAAAGCAACCCATTTCTTAAAAAACTTGATTAAAATTCACACAGTTCCACGTCTATTGCTTGTAGTTGAAAAAAAAATTAAAATAGGATTAGGTATTGGTGCAGGGGAAGAGAGAGAAAGGGTATGGGAGGAAGTGAGAAGAAAGAAAGGGGAAAAATTTATTTTTTTATATCACATATATCGACCGTTGGATGAGATTGTAATCGAACGGTTATAAAATGGGTAGGCAAAATAAGGATAGGTAGAATAATATAATAACCCTAATTATATGACTTTTAAATTAGAGGGTTATGATGAGGACCTTATGGTCATAAACAGAATGAGAATGAAATTCTAAAAATGTTGATATCCATAATGAGGGTATTCCATTCAGGTGAATTTTTATCTGCTGTTTTTGACTGCTGAAGCAATAATAAACTGTAGAACAACTCCAGTGCAGTGATTTAAGTTAGAGAGCTAATGTAATGATATAAAGATTATGCATGAGGTTAGAATATTAAATGGTGAAGATTGATGCCAATGTTGGGGTATTTCTGAAAAGTTACTTTTACTAGATATTTTGTACTGCTGTAGAAGCAGCCGCTAGAATCCCGTAACGGAAAAAAGATGAGAAAATAGAATGAAAGCCTTGTATATGCCTAACAAGTCATAATTAGACCAAAAATTATTAAAGTTAAGTTATATGTAGATAAGAGAACAAAGTTCAAATTGCTTGGAAAATTTAGTGTAAAAAACGTATGGAAGTAAAATTGATGGAGTTGTCAGAATTTTACGTAGTAGTGAGTTCAGTTTTAAATAAATCATATCTTACTCATTTCTTAATCAAATGGAGTGTGTGAGGTACCAAATTGAATCTTAGGATGTCTAGTTTCTTGTCCTAAAATATGATAATTTTAGGAGCTCACGTTAAAGATTTCAAAAAAAATCAGTGGGCATTGTTCGTTTCCGTCACAGATTTTACAACAAGCAACAATGAGTTTACGAAATTCATATCTCCTTTGTTACTTAACGAAACGAGACGATTCTTGTGCCAAATTAAAGATTAAGATGTCTAGTATTTGTCATAAAAATTTCAGAATAATCTGGGCAGTTATCATTCCAGAATAATTAAACAGTCTGTGTCAAGTGACGTTGGATTTTCAGTTTACTACTTACGGCGGATGTAACTTGGGTTGTACCTGTCAGAATAAGGCTTATGATATATCGTTGAAAAGTTTGTGACATGTAGATTATGATGATTAAGTATAAGGATTTTAGGAAAATTCTGGTAGGATGAGCATGAATTGGTGTTATGTTACGTCTCAAAGTTACTAGTCTAGTAATTAACTAGTTACTAGTTTTACTGGTGATGAATTAAATAGAAATCTGATTGCCTTCCTTTTTATTCATGATCAGCCAATGTAGAGCCATTTGGAGTGGGACTTAGTGTCTTTCATTATTTATCAAAGCTGGTCCCTCCATTAATTATAGCTTTGTCTTCTTTTCTTTTACTCATGTGGACTTGTCTCCTCTTCCTTTAGTTAGTGATCAGACCAATAAGTGTAAGTGGGAGGGAATCAATTGAAAGGGAATCAAATTAGGCAATTCATTAATCATTTCTTCACTTATTTGGTCGATAATTTCTCTTTTTGATATCAAACCTCTTCACATTTAATTCTTCTAAAAACATGACAGCCTTAAAGGAACTAGGAAAAGCTAGTAAGTGTAGTCTTGTTTCTAAAATTGGAGCTTCAAACTTTTCTCTAACTTCTCTATAGAATCTTTCCTTCAAAACCTCTCCAAATCACCAATTTTCCTTCACCAAACTTGTTCTCCTCACTCTCCTCTTCACAACCATACTATTTTCATGGTGTGAAGCAAATTTTTGTGGTCAATATCCTCATGAACAACCATAGCTTTGAAGGTTCAAGGAGCTATGGAGTTGTGTTCTTGAGTTTTCTTGAAGAACATCACTTGTGTGCTTGATTCTCTTGAGTTTTTGTGTAAGTTTCCAAAAATTTTCTTGAAAATCTCATCTTTCTTTCTTGTGTTCTTAAGCTCTAACTCTTGAGCATATTTTTGAAGGTGTGTTCTTGTTTAAAAGATCATCCTTGTTGGTAAAAAGTGAAGCTTGGAGCTAAATGTGTGAGTTTTGAATCAAGAAATGGTTGATTGATGTGTAAAGGTACAATCCTTGGATCCTTATAGGAATTTCATGAAAAAGGATGAACTTGAACCCTAAAAGAGACACATGATGATTCTGACCTCTTGAGTATAAGGTGGATTACTTGTATTAAAAATAAGGTAATCATGAATTAGTGTATTAATTAAGTGTTGGGGCTAATTAATTAAAGAAAGGACATTATTTTTGTTTTTATTTTCATGATCAGAAGACATTATTGTTTATATTCCTCATATTTTGTGCCTTTGTAACTAAATAATTTAATTTGCTTTCATATAATTGCTTTACAATGTTAAATTTGACAAAGTATTACAAATTATTTTTACAATTAATACTATCTCACCCATACTTTTTTAATATTTGATATACAAATACAAGTTGTTGAGTACGGTCATTTACAAGAATTAATTAGGTTATTTTAAATTTTTTATAATCCATACAACTAAGTTTTTTCTTCTACAACACAGGAATCCCCTCTCGTCGATTACGATTACTAATCTGCCATTCTTCGTTTTTTGTCACGTTGAGCTTGTCTTTTTTGTTGTATATTCTTTAATTTTATCAAATTGCCGTCTTGTTATTTTTTTTTTTTAATCAACAATCAATAACCTTAAAATTTGTATATAGCATTCCAATAAGTTCTATTTTTTTATTTTATCAATAATAATAATAATAATAACATTTGTATAAAGATTATAACTTATCTATATTAGTAACGTTGATCTAAATTTATAAAACTATATAAATTTAATAATTACATGTAAAAAGTTGTAGACATCTTCTCTTCATGCTGTATATAGCATTATTTTATTTTAGCTCTTACTTATAGGTAACTAATCATTCGAATGCTGTATATCTCCCTAAACAATTACTTTACCTGAGGTTTTATAAAAAATTTAAAACCAGAGTCAAACTAAATAGGGGTCAATTAGTATATCTGTAAAATATATTAGTCAATCAAAAACTGAATTAAACTTTTGAAAGAAATGTATGTAATTTTAAAGGATATAAAATTATGTCATTTTAAGTAAGAAAAAAAGATAGATCATTGAGAGAGAGAATGAACAAAAATAAAATAAAAATAAATGTATGAATCTCATTTTTTTATAAAAGTGAAATAACATAAATTATATTATTTAAAAGAACAAATATTTTTTCCTTTTAACTTTTTAGTTTGGTTTTGGCACACACGCGCTCATCACGTGCAGAATATTTCATCCCACCTCATGAAACATTGCAGAACAATCAATTCAATTCGCATTCCTGTTCTATTGTCAAGAATCAATATCTTTGGCCATTTCACTCACTACGCCCTCATTTGAAATCATAAACCTTTTAGGTATCCATCGATGATAAAATTAACCTCGCATTTAAAATATGGGTTTTATAAGAGTTATGTTGTAGAAAAAATGATTGTGTTATGTTATAGAGATTCGTTTTGCGTACTGAATTTTTTTTTTTTTTTGCTGCGGGCCCCACAAATTTTTGTGTGTGTAGGAAACTTTTTGTGGTCATGTTAAATGATAGATGGTAAACCCTTAAAATATTAAGAGATACCTCATAAGAAAATTGATAAAATTTTAAAAAAAAGTTATTCCTAATTTTGCACTACACTGCTAGCTATGTTGCACTAACACAAATTTATGTAATAAATATTAAATTTAATATTCAATAATTTAACAAAAAAATAAAGCTAAATTTATAATATCCATTAATTTTATAAAAAATTTAAGATATCACAAATATTTATATTAAATTCAACACAATTATAATCATAATCCAACAAATGTAATCGTTAGAACTAAAAACGCAACGCAAAATTTGAACTTCTTTTAAGTCTGCGTAACACGTATATGAATGTCCCAGAGTTAAAAAATATTACACATGACATGTCGGGTTTTTTTGAAATTTCTATACATGATAGTTGTCCGGTCCGTTCTACATCGCATAGTTGCGGTTTATGAAGAGCCTGTTTGGATCATATTTTTTTTTGTAAGCTAGAAGCTACTTATAAACTAAAGCAAAAAAAAAATAGTTTAAAAAAATAAAATAAATGCTATTTGGTAATCACATAAAAATTTTAGCTTAAAAATTACTTAAAAACACATATTTCAAGAAAATTATCTCTCTCTATCTGTATAACTCTTCATTTAAAAAAATAAATACACAAATCAAGAAAAGCAGATAAAAGCTTAAAAAAAATCTACTCGTAGAAGCTTTTAGTTTTTAACTTTATTATTCATTATAAATTTTTTTTCCAATAATTTATTTGACTTAACTTATTCTTATAATTAAAGTACCTTCTAGCTTTAAAAAAAATAAATCCAAAAGGCAGCAAGAGTATACTAAAACCGTTTAGGAGGCGTAGTTGCTGTCGTAAGCTTGGCGATCACGGGTCCCCAAGGCAATAAACCCCAATCCGGAGTTGCTCTACATAAGGAAATCTGACCGTCCGAATTTCTTAATCAACGTTCGAAAATGATCCAAGCAAGAAGCCACGGATCATGAAATAAAACCGTCGATGAATTAGAATCCAACGGTCAAGATCAAGAAGAGACACTGAGATTCATATGCCCACTCTTCCCGCTCCAAATAAATACCCCATCGCCTTCCTTATTTCCCACCACTGTCAAACCCTAAATCCCCAATTCTATTTTTGAGAAAATCTGACTCAAATTTTCTGGGAAAATGTCAGGTCGCGGAAAGGGAGGGAAGGGTTTGGGGAAGGGAGGAGCAAAGAGGCATCGCAAGGTCCTGCGCGATAACATCCAGGGAATAACGAAGCCCGCGATTCGAAGGTTGGCTAGGAGGGGTGGTGTGAAGAGGATCAGTGGTTTGATCTACGAGGAGACCAGAGGGGTTCTCAAGATCTTCCTGGAGAACGTTATTCGTGATGCGGTGACTTACACGGAGCATGCGAGGAGGAAGACTGTCACGGCTATGGATGTGGTTTACGCGCTCAAGAGGCAGGGTAGAACCCTCTATGGATTCGGAGGCTGAAGTTTGGATTTTGGGTATCTTGATAGGGAGATATAATTATAGCAGATTGGAAGGGCACAGAACAGTTTCATATTTTTTAGACCTCAGTTTATAGTCCCAGGGTCTTTCTGGTTCTTTCTTCTTTTCTGATTTTCTTTTTCTCCCACACTTCTTGACATTCCTCTATTGCCTCTTGTCTCCAGTGTTACAGGAGGTAAAATAAGAATGTCGAGAGTATGGGAGAAGAAGACCCAGAGTCTCTTGTTGCCAGTGTTATAGGAGGTAAAAGAAGAATGTCGAAGAGAATGAGAGAAGAAGAAGACCACGGAAGAAGAACTAGAAAGATCCCGAGACTATAAATTTCTCATCACGATCATTTCAATCATCTCCCTCCCAATGTATTATGTATAGTTTTTCTCTCTTCCATCTGGTACTTACCAAACATTCTATTTTATGCTTGAATTTGATATGGAAGATCCTTTTTTCATTTTGCACGAACATCAACATAGTGAAATAAATTCTGGTAAAATATAGATGCGTTTTCTTAAATTTTTATTTTTATTTTATTTGCAGTTGATATATTTTTATTTATAATTTAAGAAATACTATTCCATTTTTATTTTAAAGAATTCACAAGAAAATAGTAAAAAAGTTGTATTTTGGTAATTATAACTAAATATATATGAATTAAAAATGAAAACAAGAAATATTGTTGTCTTGATTCTTTCCTTCGCAAATTCTTAAAAACGGAAAGCAAGGTCAAATATTTCCAAAAAAGAAAACAAGATCAAAACAACATACATATATTTGTTTTACAACTATTAGTTTAATTATATTAACTGAAAATGAAAACAACAAACAAATCAAACATACTTAAAATTTGCAACTGAAAATCTAAATAGAAATATAAGGCACCAATAATCAAAAATAAAAGAAAGTACAGGGCATTAGGTGTGCCAATAAACGGATCACGTTTACACAATCTTGACATGACCCGTTCTGATCCACGAGTTGACACGACACGTGATTTGACGGGTCGGGTTACGAGTCAATAGCAGCTTCGAATTAAATATGGGAAGAATTTTCAACATATAATTAAGGGTAACACTCTAGGGCTCATAATTTAAGGAGTATTAAGAAATTTAATTACCTGATTGAAAACAGAATTTTGCCTGCCCCATATTTCTAATCTCTATTCCAGCTAACTGAACCTCGTAAACCACATCTAGCAAAGTACTTACATGTTGGAAAACACTCTGTATGTATTTGTTAGCAATTATTTAATTATGTCATAGTAATCAATTTATACTGATGAATAAGAAGTCTTACATCAATTTTTAATTGTTAATTTTTATATATCTAATAGTTATGATTTATTGAAAATTAATAATTATTTAATGAATGTGATTCAATAAATCATAATCATTAAATTAACATAAATCAATAATTATGGTTTAATGTATGACTTATTGTTACTAGATTAATATAAATTCATCTGCACCTTTAATTATTATTTACAACTTCGCAAGAAGAGATTGTAAAAGGAAGCATTTAGCCGTAGAAATAGTAAAATAAACGATAATAGAAATAGGAGTCGGTGAAGTACATCCTGGGAAATATCTCAAGAATCGCTGTCTACTTTCCCTTTTTAATTTTCAACGAGGGTACCGGACAACTTTTAAGGGGATGAAATTATAATGTAATTTTATAATTATTGATATGATAATAAAAAAATAAAAAAGATTCTTATAATTAAGGATTTTTATAAATTATAAAGGGGCAAACAATAAAAAATAGAAATAATACTTACTTTTAAAAGTTTATATAAATTTAAAGGGACGAACACCCTATTAGTCCTTTTCACGTTTGACCACTACTAACTTCCCACTCCTTTTAGTTGGAAATCAATAATTTATACAGAACAAAAATCATAAATGAAAAGAGAGGGAGACACAATGATTTATAATAGTCAATTCAATATAGACTACGTCTTCTAGCTTATTTGTACTATATTCACCTCACCTACAAATCACTCGATTTACAAAGAGAATATAAATAAGATTAAAAAACCCTAACAATAGTTATTTACGGGCCCAAGTCTAAACTACTAAGAAAAAGAAAAAAATTACTATAAATCAGAGGCCCATAACAGTACCTGGCCTCTACAGAACCGCAGTTGCCTTTCTGCTAACCCCAACAACAAGGGCCCTCAACAGTATGCAAAGTATGAGTCATACTCAACATTTTTCTTCCAAACTCCATAAGACTAGTATTTGTACATGGTTAGTATTTTGCTCAACAAATAAATCTAGTTAATCTTATCAATACACAAAATATTTTATCATTCATTTTTAGATCTATAATTGTTTACATCCGCATACGTTTTCTTTGCATTTTCTTGGAAGTTATTATGTATGCTATGCTATATTCTCCCCTCTCAATCTATATATAAAAGAGTAAATATTCTTTTTGGTCCTCAGCAAATTTCACGATACCCGCTTTAGTCCCTAATAAATAAAAAGGCCCATCGTGGTCCCTAAGAAATTCAAAATGGACCCATTTAGTTGAAATTTTGGTCCCTCACAAATTTCAAAAAGACCCATATTAGTCCCTCAAGAGGACTAAAATGAGTCCATTTTAAATTTCTTAAGAACCACTATGGGCCTTTTTATTTATTAGGGACTAAAACGGATATCGTAAAATTTGCTGAAGACCAAAAAGAGTATTTACTCTATGTAAAACAATTTAAGAGGATTGGTTCTTAATATCTTATCATAGTCACTTTCACCATGACAAGTGGTCAGGAGTTAAGGTCATTTCCATCTCAATTAATAATAATTGAGTTAAACTTTGTGTATTATATATTCTTTAAGTTGAAAGGGCTCTTGTTTAAGTAAATGTCTTAGGAAGATACTTGAGCAATCTAGGAATGGATCATTGGAAAGCAGCCAAGAGAGTTATGCAGTATTTAAAGAGAACAAAAGATTATATGGTTACATATCGGAGGTCAGATCAATTAGAGATCGTCGGATATACTGACTCTGATTTTGCTGGATGCCAAAATAGTAAAAGATCCATGTCAGGTTTTGTCTACATGTTGGCTAGAGGAGCTATTTCTTGGAAGAGTGTTAAACATACACTTGTAGTTTCCTCTACTATGGCCGCTGAATTTGTAGCTTGTTTTGAGGCATCCAACCATGGGGTATGACTGCGAAACTGTGTCACAGGGCTGCATATAGTAAGTGGTGTTGAAAGGCCACTGAAGATTTATTGTGACAACAGGTCAGCAGTGTTGTACTCCAACAACAACAGAAGCTCTTCAAAATCGAAGCACATCGATATAAAGTTTCTGGTTGTTAAAGAAAGAGTTCAGAGTGGTCAGATTTCCATAGAACACATAGGGACGAATTCCATGCTTGCGGATCCGCTTACTAAAGGCTTAGTGCCTAAGGTCTTTCACGAGCATACTGCTCATATGGGTGTTGTTTTGTTCGATGAGACTACGGTTTAGTGAGAGTTCTTTATGTTAGTGTTCTATGAAAATTAAATTTTCTGCAGAATAAAGAATTCAATGTTATTTTCCCTCTGAATGTATTATATTTTGTGCTTGTGTTTCTGCTTTGTGTATGCAGAAAATTTAGGATTGATCTCATAAAGATTAAAGTAGGACCAGTTGGAAATAGGCATGGTAAGATCACATTGCATATAATTTCCATGCCACTCATCCATACTTGATCTATGTCATTGAATATATTGGTGTGATGACCATGGAAGGTTTAGTTACGCTTGAAAGTTACAAAAGCCACCATGATCTCATATTGATATAGGAGGTGGACCAGATTGTATCTAAGGAGGAATCTAAAGAAAAATAGCATACAGTTGCGCACTAAAGATATACGATATAATTATCTCTAGTTAATATGTGGCCCAAGTGGGAGATTGTTAGGAAATTATATTTTCTAATAATTATTGTGGGTCACATATTATATTAATAATTATATTGTGCTATTTATATATATTGGGTAAATTAAAGTGATCAGTTAAATATTCCCAAATAGATTCCTAAGCGAGTATGGGCTGAATGAGTGGATACCGGTGTTGGGCCAACTAGGTATAATGGGAGCTTATTGGCCCAACAATAAAGATAAAAACACTATATAAGGGTTATGGTCCCCAATACGTCAAAGGCATAACCCTAGTTTCTCTTCCCCATCAAGAGAGAGACGGTACACTAAAGAATAAGGTTTTAGAGTGATTTGACTGAGGAAGACTACAAACCCCAAGAGACAAGATAAAAGTTATTCCGCTGCAATGGAGACAGGTATGTCTCCACCTTTATGTTGTTCTTATTTTTCTTTATGATTTGGTATGATGGATCTTGGCTTATAGGTGATAGTTATCACCATAAGGTTTAAAGGAATTAAAAATTCCAACATGCTCTCCTTGGAAGAACGCGAAGAATACCAAAGCAATGACTTCCTAGGCATTCATATCAGAAATCTTAGCGCGCACCGTAACCCTAGGCATTTCAGGCAATGACTTCCTACAAAGCAATCTTGTAGATAGCTACGCTTCCTGTTCCCAATTGCGCCAAGCGTACATCATCTTCTCCTTCACCAATCGCCGCACCACTTTCCTCTTCAACTCCCTCATCAGAGCCTATTATTCTCTCGACTTTTATGCCCAATCCATTTACCTCTTCCGTCAAATGCTTCTTGCCCATATACCCTTCAATCGCTATACTTTTCCCCCGTTGCTCAAATCTTGCGCTAAAATTGGGTTTGGTGGTTCATGGTTATTGAAACAAATCCACGGAACCATTGTGGTTAATGGGTTTGCCTCAGATTTGACGATTTCGAATGCTTTGTTATTCGCGAATACTAGACGCCCTGCTGAATTGCTTAAACGTGGGCGCAAGTTGTTTGACACAATGTTGAAAAAGAATGTGATTACGTGGTCAATGATGATGAAGGATGATCAAGAGGTGGATAAACTGTTTGATAGAATGATAGAGGCAGGTGAGAGACCAAATGATGTGACTTTTTATACAATTTTGAGAGCATGTAATGAGAAAGAACGCCGCGTGGAAAATGGATGGGAATACTTTGACATAATAGAGGAGAGGTTTGGGCTGAAACCTAGGGCGGGACATTATGCAAAAATCGTGGATATGCTGGGTTGGGTTGGCCGAGTGAAGGAAGCAGCTATGTTAATGTTGAGAATGAGAAGAGAGGAGGTTGAGCCCAATGACACTGCGTGGAGTAGCTTTCGTCGGTCCTGTTATTTTCATAGGAAGATGGAGTTGTATGAGTTAGTTGAATTTATTCTAAAGTATTATGAGACCAAGGCACGAGACCAAGGCAAACTACCATATAGGCAGATGAGTGCTGACGACTCTATGTATGGCTACTCTAGATATGATGTCCCTGATTGGAGTGATCTTTCTATGATAGTGATGATTAGGTCAAGAAAATTTCTTCCAATTAGGAAAGACTTCTTGAGTTCGGAATATCGAAGAATGTAGTGCAATGTGGCATACTAAAAAAAGAGCGCTGCAATTATCTCTCCTTATTTACTCCTCATCTCTATTTACTCTCATTTGGTTCTGCTCCCTGCTTCCCTGGCCCTCGACTCAATCAAGTTACCGATATGTTTGTGCTTCCAAGCGTACCCTTTGTGCACTGTCTCCAGATCTTTTGAGTCAATGGTGGTCAATTAATATTGAAATCTAAAGAGAGACATAATTGCCTCAAGATGGGGTTGGTTTGATGCTTCTTCTTTTCATATTTTGGTATTCCTCTCGCATTCAGTTTTTCTTTCTGTCTTTTTTTAATCATTTTATGTCAACTTGCCTTTTTTTACACACAAAATGATGTCTTTTCATGTGTAAATTAAAAAAAAATGCAGGAATCACTGGCGCAACCGGTTCTGGGGTCAAGAGGAAGTTGTTGAATTATAGGTTTCTAAACTTATATATTTGAAGTTTTGATGATTACAAAGCCTTTTCTATACACACTGTCAGATATCGAACACATGTCAACATGCTTTAAGGACCCAGCTGTCTACTAACTATGTTGGGCTTTGTTGGTAATTCTAATTTTTCATGACATAAAGTATGAAGGTTTTTTCCACTAACCCTAAATATTCAATATTCTCAAGGATTTCAAATATGGTGTATTTGCTTATTCATTTGTATGTTGAATATTATTATTTAATTTATTTGGCTTTTTTCTTGTGATATACTAGAAACTTTTATATATCAAATTATATTAAATTTAAATCAAATTACCCTTTTAAATATGACGAATGTTGAATAAATTATTCATGAAACAATATAATTTATTTGAAGAGAAAGCTTATTCTTAGAACATTTTTCGCTTACAACCAAATCTTAATAGTTAACTTCCATCAAACTGGCGGTTATAATTTATTAAGAATTAATAACTAATTAATAAATATGACCCAATAAATTATAATCATAAGATTAATAAAAATTAAAGATTAAAATATGATTGTTAGATATTGTAAGCGGAAAAGATTATAAGAATAAGCTTCCTCTTCTTTGAAATAGAAAAGATGAAATTTATCCAAGTATGATTTCTCATATACAGATATGATGAGATTCAATATCAATATAATAAAAGTGGAAAAACACGTTTTTTAAAAAGAATATAATCGAATAAATAAAAATAGTAATTTTATTTTTAAAAGATCTGAAATAAAGAAAAAATTATATTTTATCTTCACAAAAAAAAATGGTTCAGTTAAATCCACTCTAGTTTAACATGATGACTATCCTCTAATTGGTAACGTACACCAGTCTTCTCGAGGCTTTCGTTTCCTGGAAACACCTGAAGAATCTCGAATGCATTCACCCAAAACAATGTAAGAATCTAAAACAGTTTAAGACAAGGAACCCTCCAAAACAAGAAAGGTCAGCTACAAAGGAGAACAACGAAGTCATATTTTTAATTTTTCAAATAAAAAAATTATTTGGAATTTTTTTTTTATAAGAATAACTCTCAAAATAATAATAAAAAATTAATTTTTAAAATTAAAAATGAAAAAATTTCTAAGAATATTCTAAAAAATTATTTAGTTTTATTATTTCTACCGTAATAATTTCGTAATTATAAGAATTTATTAATAATATTTTTGTAAATAATTTTTTCCAATTTTAAAGTACGCTGAGGTGATAATATTTTAATTATGAAAATTCATTAATGATATTTTTATAAATAAATATAACTTCTTTATAATTTTCAATCTAACAATATTCGAACAAATTTTAATATTTTTTTACTCTTAAATTTAATTGTCAAAATTTATATTCAAAAAAGATTTTAAATAAATAAAAAAATCATATTCCAAACACTTCCCTCCGGCCTTTGCTTTTGGATTACTTTCATTACCATGTTCAAAGTTAAACCATTTAAGTGCACAGAAAAAAAAAAAAATTAAACCATTTAGACTTTTTTTTTTCCTGGTAATTGTAAAAACAAATCGAAGGAGAATCTTGGAGCAAGTGATAAGTACCGCCGAAGATTACACAGGAATAAGTTCCGTTTTTACTTTACTATAATTCTTAATATTTTCATATTTAATTTAGTTTCTAGATTTTTGAAGTTAGTTGATATATCGCTGATCCGCTTTTTTCTTTTCTTAATTCCCTATTCTTCAACAATTACTTTTAATTCGTATATAATTATTTCTAAAACGACGTCGTTTTGAGATTAAAATATTAAAAAATTATATTATAAAGACTATAATAATCATAAAATAAATTAAAATTACAAAAATACCATAATTTTCGCCCCAAAATAACGGCAAATAAGTTATCTAAAAACGAACCCATATACTACGGGGGCTAATAGATTACAGCTCAAAATTAGTACTTATTCTACCAAAACGATGTCTTTTTTGCTTACAACTCAAATTCCCATACCTAACTACCTAGAAATAATGATTTTTCCCCAATACACCGCATATAAATATGAAGATTAAAGAGATGCCTCTAAACACTTTTCAAAACTAAACGTCAAACTTTTTCTACACATTTGCATGGATCAGCTAATAAAGCTGAATTTTAAGTTGCTGGAACCAAATAAATAAATAAAACCATATAAGAGCAAATAGTAACGTGATCAAGTAATAGCAGTATAGCACTGAGTAGAAGTAGAGAGACAATGATTAAGTGAATATCTGAACAAGAAGCAAATACATTCTAAATCAGTGCATACTGCATAATTCATCTCCTATCCCTAGCACTATTGAAACTTCCACGCACATTTGTTTTCCTAGTACACACAATAAGGGGCCTCCAGGTAGAAAATGGTATATTCATGCTAATGTAGTAGGTATTCAAGTTATAATTCCTTCACCACCAGTAATCCTTACAAGAGCATTTTCCATCCTTGAAATGATGAATCCATTTGTTATCTCTGACAACTAATTCTCTCCCTAAAATCCTGGACATGATCTTGATGGCATAGTGACACTCGCCGCAGATACGGAGCTTCTTGACGATTTCAAGAGGTGTTCTTGGTGGAGTACTACTAAGACCAAAGGCAATTGCTAGACGTTCACTGTGGTAAAGCGAGTCTTGCTCCTTTGCTTTCTGATCAATGTCATGAAGAACATATCTTGTATCAGGAACATATCCTGCATCTTTCATCTCACTCAAAGCCTTTAACTTTTTATCATCCTTGTAAAGAGCAAGATTCTTATATTCAATAATTCTGGTCTTGCCATCAAGCATGCTAATTGCAGTATACTTCTTCGGAGGCGGCGTAGGGATCTTATTGGCAACAGCTTTTGATGGGTCAAGACTAACCATTAACTCTTCAGCATGGTCTTCAAGATCAATATCCCCATGAGCGCGAGCATAATTCTTCAGAGTCTCCCATACAGTCACTGTAGGCTCAAATGGCAACCTCTCAATGAACTCCTCTGCTTCCTTGAGATACCCAGACTGTCCAAGAACATGTAAAAGCCCCATATAGTGCTCCACCCCCGGTTCAATTCCATATTTACTTTTCATAGACTCAAAATGTAAGTATGCATCTTCCACAGCTTCTGCACTGCCACATGCTGATAACACAGCAAGCAAAGTCTCTGAAGTGATTTCCAAACCCAGCTCATTCATCTGCTCAAACAGTTGCAAGGCTTCATCTCCCATAGTATTATTTGCGTAGCAGCAAAGCATCAAGTGCCAAGAGTCCATATTCCTATTAGGCATATGATCAAACACTCTGCGTGCATCAGTCATGCTTTTACAATTCACATACATCTCAATCACCTTGTTCTTTAACTTGAGATCACTCCTATAAGTAGACTGTAGAAAGTAATCATGGGCCTTCTTGGCAACCTCAAGGGATTTCAATTGGCCACACAAGTCAAAAAGAAGATCAAAGCAACTAGCATCAGCTTTGACCCCTTGGTCCATCAATGCAATCGCTTCTTTAACCTTTCCCAGTTGGCACAAACGTGTCAAATCACTGATTGAAGGCGGAGATGTAGAACCTTGAAGGCGGAGATGTGGGAACCCATGAGTCCGAGGGTTCCACTGGTTGGGGTTAGGGGGGTTTTGATCGTTCCATCGATTAGGGTTTGTGGGTGGCTGAAAGTTGGGATTTTGAGAAGTGGGTGGCGCTTGATGTTTAGGATTCCAATGATTTAGGTTTCGCCGCTGCTCAGGAAATCGACCAGGAATATTGTGTTTGTGGGGTTCATGGTTTTGGTAAGCAAATTGATTTGAAGGGGCAGGGCTTCCACTCTGGTTTTGAATATGTGGGTTTAAATGTTGAGGAGAATGGCCCTGACGTTGTTGCCATTGACCCTGAAAGGGTGTGTGATCAGAGGGTGGTTGCTGTGGAGGGAATCTCCCATAATCGTTTGGAACCGCAGAGGTACACAAAGATTTTGTAATCAGGGTTTTGCTGCAGTAGTTGGGATGGATAAACAGTGTCAGTAGCTTGAAGGAAGAAGAGAACATTGTAGATCGTGCACGCTCAATCAATGGGAACATCACCATGACTGAGTGAAACTGTGGAAGGAGCAATTATTTAGGGTTAGTGAGGAATTTTGCTTTTTTATCAATGGTAGCTGCTAGGGAAACTGTTTGGGCTGCTTATTTTTGTTGTACTTTGTATTGGGTCATGGGCTCTTATTTTGGGTCTGGTTCCTGTAACCGGTGAAATTTCTTTCTTACTGGTGGACAATGGATCAAAGTTTGTGGATATGATTATGTTTACACTTACTAGGAGGGGTGGTGTACAGTATGATTCGTAATCCTAGCTAGATGCAAATGAATGGTTAATCATTTTTTGCAATTTGCACATCGTACAGTACAGTATGATTCTTAATCCTAGCTAGATGCAAATGAATGTAAATTTATGATCCGATTGTGTTTTAACGTGAACAGAATTGATAGTGGTTAGATGTGAAATAGTGTTTTGTACATTTAATCCACCAAGTAGGTTTAATTTAAAACTTGAGAGATCATATTAAACGCTACTCAATCGG